ATTTAATAGAACAGAAGACTGCATGACTTGATCAATGTTCATTCCCTTTTAGGAAACAAAAGAGATGCTGCAAAACCACAAACAAATGTAAATGTCCTGAAAAAGGAAAATAATTAGAGGCTTTACATTTTGGTGTCAGCATAATAAAAATGCAAAAATTTGTCCAACAGGCTAGAGCAGTCAGCCCCACTGGGAAGGCACCTATATCTATCTTAGGCCAGTCTGAAAAAATTGTTTAGAACAGCAGCTCTCAAACTATGGCCTGTGTCAGAATTTCTGTTAAAGTTTCTTAAAATACAGATTTCTGGGCCCTGCCCATACCACAGAGTTCCTGGCTCAGTAGATATCGGTGGGACCCAAGAAACTGCATTTCCAACAAGTTTCCAGATGCCATTAATACTACTGTTTGGGAGCCACTATTCTAGAGCAAGCAACATCTAAACGGAGGGTAGAAGAAATAGATAGGCGTTTGCTAAATTAGGCATTTGTGTCGGTGCAGAGAGAGCAGTGAGGAGTGCTGAAGGCAAAGGTTGTGCTGGAGAACACCTGCAAATAGTCCAGGGGACCTGCAGGACCGTGAGAAGGAGAGGGCAGTGAGAGGCGGGACCGCTGAGACAAGGAGGAACCAATCTTTAAAGAACTTTTACTGAACTAAGGAGCTTTTATTTGGGCGAAGAGCCATGAAAGGACTTGTGAACAGCAGAGCAACGTGATCAGACATGCAATTAGGAAAGATCATCGAGGCCACAGTGTAGAGTGTGGATGAAGGTGGGCAACACCAACAAGGAGACTAGTCAGGAAGGTGCTATATAGAACAAGTGGATGACCAGGAGTTTTGTAGCAGCAATGAAGATGGAGAAAAATAGAAGGATGTGAAAGATATTTAAGAGGTAGAAGTTAAATTCTTGACCATTCATTTGCTGTCCAGAATGTGGATGAGATAAGTAAGAAATGTCAAAGAAATTCCTTCCTAGTTTTCTGCTTTGAACAATTAGATGGTCCTAGTCATTGAGACAGGAGACACAAGAGCAAAGTGGGTTAGAAAAGGGAGGAGGAACAGAGAGAGGGATGGCTTTGTTTGGGGACGTGTTGACATTCAATGGGTCATAGAGTATAAACACATTGAGCTCAGGAGAGCAATCTACATTTGGGACTTGCCAGCATGTAGAAAACTGAAAGGGAAGGAGATGGAATTTCCTGGATACACTATGTAGAACAAGAATAGAAGATGGCTACAACATTTAGGAGATCCTTGAGGAACACTTCCAGTCCAGGAGAAGACTGAAGAAGAGGAATTCAATTTCTTATTCAAACTTGAAGAAGGTCATTGATAATCTAAGTGAAAAGCCTTACAGTGTAGTTTTATCAGCTCAAACCAGAAAAAGTGTGTGGGGGAGGTAAAAAAGTAGAGGCAGATGATATGACAGCCAAATCCTGGGTTGCCCTTTTTCTTCATTGTTGCAGTTTGTTTTCTATGAATTTATGTACTACTAAAGAGAAATGCATGTTACTTTAAATATGCCTTTTTATAGCAAATTCTGGAAATTTCTTGCAGTCTTCTTGTGTATGCTACTGCTTTCCTTCATAAATAGTGAAACTTTCTGAACAGATGGTAGCCTGAAGATTTATCTTTGAAAAATACTGAAAAAATAATCTATATAAGAAGTTTAATGATTATATCCTATTCTACAGCTATATTTCATATAAATGTATATCTAAGGATATCATTTTTAGAACTTGGTTTCTAAGGATTGAATTGCCATGAAGTAACAGGAGCTCACTTTTTAAAGCTATCACAGAATTTTCTCACTTCACTTAAAGGCAATGCCAGAATAATGCATCTTACACTTTTACAAAAGCCTATATCCTGAAATGCTTAGATTGAAGTGTAGAGTTGTGTCACTGTGTTTCCTAGAATTTGAAAGCCAGTAAAATCAGTATCAGAAGATTCATGAGGTCTTTTGCTGTGGTTTTTCCCCTCTAGAAATGAGATTATGGAATCTTTGACAGCCTTGAATTCTCAGAAATACAATACACACCCAAAGGGTCATCTGGAAAAAAATGAAAATTTCTGATAATTTAGAAGTGGGATTTCTTGATTAAATGATTACCAAACTGGGATCATATAAATTTCTTCTGCAGAAGACAAGTTCATCTGGTTAAGATGTATTTTAAAAGAGACAGTTACTAAACATCCACCATTAGCTCTCTATGAGGTTTAGAGTTTCATTGTAAATTGTGAAAACTCTTCAAGCACCAGAACAATAAATGATTTCCCACATCTTGCCTATGGAAAGAAAACATAAATCAAAACCATTTTTCTCTGAAGCAATGGTACTCACCCTGATGAAAACCCTTTGCAGTAACTGGAAAAATCCCTCGGAGTCCTTCAAGGAAGAAAAGATTTTCACTGTTGCCAAATAGGTCCCCACATTGGTTCTCAAAGACAACCTACATTTCTCTGCTTTGTACTTTTGTTATATGGTTGCCTTCAACTAGATTAGCTCCTTACACTTTCTCCATTTTCCTCCATTTCTACCTACTGATATCCATTAAAGGCCAGGTCAAATACCACCTGTTCTATTAGGCTATTAGACTTACTAGCTGTATACAACACAGAATATATGCTGCTCTAAATGGCAGCTATTTACACACTTAACTCTACTTAACATTAGAAGCTTCTGGAGACAGCAACCATATTGCCATGTTGCCTAGCATGATACCTAACTTGTGGCTGTCACTATATACATGATTGTTAACAATATTTAAGTAATTCGAATTGCATCAAGCTAGAGTCTGGAACTATTCTTTTTGTGCTCTAGCCAAAATATTGAAGACCAGAAAATGGGTCAGAGTCTCTCTTTTGAGATCCTAGTCATTCAAAATTTAGAATTCATCCAGGTACAACTAGAAACAGTTATGTGTTCATAGTGGCTGCAAGTTCCTCTTACAGGAAATAAGATTGGTACTGGGAAAATAATATTTCCCAAGGAATTTCTCTTATTTCTAAGATAGAGTTCTTTGAATCTTTTGATCTGATTACAACAGAGGCCTTCTTATGGGGTTAGTAATTGATTAATTAATTGATAAACTTGTCTAGGGCAAAAAGGCATTAAAGAAATATGTAGACACTGTAATTTAAAAGACGCAACTAATCATTCACCAATATTTTTTATATAAAGCCTCTTCTTTAACTGTTGGTCTGATGTTTGGAACGTATTGTTCTGTTTTAGTATAAATCACCACAGTGCGTTATTTATTGTTCACAATGTTAGTGATTTAAACAGGAGTGAAAATTTAAAGAGTTTTTTTAAAGTAGAATCTTTCTAGATTTTTATGTTTATTGACCATCCCAATATGTTAAAATTTCCCTTAAGTTAAAGCTTATTTTAGTAACTCACCTTTGTGGAGTATTTCCAAAACATTCAAGATAGATTTTATACTAATGTCTCCTTTTGTTCTACAGTCATGTATAATTATTTTATTTATAATAAAAATATATAAGGTGATAACAATGGACATAATTAGGGAACAAATACAACTGTTTTGTAACAAGTAGCAGTTCACCTAGTTGGAGCAGAATTGTTAGAGGCATACCAGAGGGGTAGTATGTTACCTGCCAGTGCTAGTGTTCAGCAGGACATGGGTAATAATATAGGGAATGGAAAAATATTCATTTAGTGAACTAGCTAAATGTAGTTAAAAAGATTTTCTGTTTTATCTTATTTCATACTAACATCTTTCTGACATTGTTCCACAGAAAAATTGAGAATAATAAGTATTTTGTTCATTCCTGCATGTTAACTGTAGGACAGTGGGGCTAAAGATATAGGGGTGAAAGGATCGGTAACAATCTGCTAGAAAATATCATTCTTTACTGGACATGTTGTGCTAATTCAGGGAGAGCTACCAAAGGCCTTTAGAGAGAGAAAAACCAGCCTAATACATCTAGGCTATTTCACGTGTGTTTCTTTCATTTCTGGATTTGTGATTTTTATGAAGAATTCACATGAACCTTTCATTTAAAATGTTGAAAGAATGAGATGGAGAAGGGAGAAAGTTTGGAAAAATGAACTTATTTTGTCTTTTAGAAATTGATTATGGATACCCCCATGTATCATAAACCGTTCATCGTGATTTATGCCAAGTCACAGTTTTGTGACTTAAAATATAGGAATGAGGTTGGGGAGTTAAAATCAACAAGAATATCCTGGAGGTGAAGTTAAAAAAAGGTTGGTTGTAAGGATCCCTGTGAGGTTAGATTTTGTCTTTATACAATATTTAGAAATGAAACAGTTCTTAGATATCTCTCATCCAATAATTCTCAACCCTGGCTATTCATCTGAACCATATGTATAGAAAAAAAAATCTTTCTAATTACTACATTTCTCATAGAGCATCCCAATCTTCTTTAATCTAGTGATCTTACTCACCCTAGTATTTACATACTCCTCATTGTTTTCATACTTACTTCATTATTATTTTTGGTAATGTAATAAAAGATTTAAAAAGGGAGGGTCATGTCATATAAGATGATTTTCAGAAAATAACCTTTCATAACATTCTACTATAAAAAAATAACTGGTTCAAGGAAGTTTTTTGACTTAGTATATCACAAAATCCACTAGTCACTTTCAAGACTATTTTTTGATCTGTCAGAAACCCGGTTCAAACAGTGTTTGCCTGTGGATCTTTCTAAGGTCCTGAGAATTTTCCTTGAAATATTAAGGCAGAGTCAAAAGAAATTCATCCTATACAAATCTGTTGGCTCAACTGGTCTCAAATGCAGGATATTTGTTTTGCTATTGGAAGATAAACTAGAATGAAACTAAGTGAAAATATAAGCAATAGCGTTTATGTTTGTATTTTTTTATGTTAAAACTCTGCGTAAGTAAGTAGGTATTGGTGGGTCTAAATTTCACCTAAAAAATGAGATAGTTTAGAATTTTACTTTCTGAGTGTTAAGTTTGCCTTCACATTCTAATGTTTTGCTTTTCCAGGGTTTTGAAAGTGTTTCTTTCACGAACAGCTCAACGGATTCCGTATATGACTGGTGGACGGGTCATGAGGATGCTGGCAGTAATACTGCTAGTAGTGTTTTGGTTTCTTGTTGGCTGGACTTCATCTGTTTGCCAGAATTTGGAAAGGCAGACTCCACTTATTGGCCAAGGGCAGACATCTGATCACCTCATCTTCAATATGTGCCTCATCGAGCGCTGGGATTACATGACAGCTGTTGGTACGTGGTCTCTTGTTTTGCGTGATCATTTTGTCCTTTTTCCAGTAGCATTAAATGGACTTCTTTAGAAGCCTTGCCAAACCCTTTTACAAAGCCTAAAGGAATTTCACTTAACAGGGTTTTTGGTAAAACAATAGTATGAAAAGGACAGTAATGACCTGTGGAATGCAAACTTCTTCTGAAAGTTTCCATTCTTTTTCAAAGGTATGTAGCTTTGTTGAAAAAATGTAACCAAGCAAATCAGGAAAAAGAAATGCAGTAAATAAAGGCAACATCTTGGTACAAAGAGACTATCTGCTTTGGATCTTATCAGTGTGTACCTGTTTGATTAACAGTAGCTATTCTCTTGACATTTCTTTAGTTGAGGGAAAAAAAGGAAATGATGGTATATTTTATATAGTTTTGCTCCTATGCTATATCAGACTTGGTTTCTAGGGCACTCTTTGTGTAGAGATTTTCTCTGTGAAATTTCTAATTAATCTTTCTTCCTACGATAATTTATTAGGATTCTCTGGAGGTCCAGTTTTACACAAAAGCAAAGCCATGCTACTTGGGGGTAGTAAGAATTTTATGTGACCAAGAAATTAGAGAAGTTTGAATAACTATATGATGACTTAGGCCAAAAACAGGTGATTTTCTGGCATCTCAGTTTTTTGAAAAATAAAGAGAAATCCACAGGAAATTTTCTTTTGTTAATACTAGGCTGTCTTAAGTCTCCAAAGATACAAAGAAAAGAATGAAAACAAACCTTTATTATTTTGTTGTCATTCCCCTCAGTAAGCCACAGAACAAATTTTAATTTTATCTGGCAGATGCCAAATTTAATTTCTATTTTCTGTCTCTCCCATATATGGCAATTGTTTGAATATTCAGATTTAGTATTTTTCTAGAAGCTAATAAAGTGTGTATTAAAATGTGTAACAAAATGTGTTTACAATTTAAATTGAATAGTGTTTCTCTGGGCAAGATATTTTCAGAATTTTATAGGCCTGATACCCAATAAAAAAGCAATATGGATATGTAAAGGGAATGGCTATAATGATAATATATAAAGCCAATCATCATTATTTTGATCAATGTCAAAGAAGGTATCAGAAGATAAAGCATAGAACTAAGGTAGGAAGCAATTCTGATTCTGACTTTGGTCTGGATTTGAAGATTAAAGAAATCATACATATTAAAGTTCTACTCAAAAACCTCTAACATTATTTTATATTCTTCACTCTAAGATAACCAAAGTAGACAAAATGATTTCCCCATATTACTATGAAGAAAGGCCATTATATTTATTTTCTGTTTTGCAAAGAATATAATACTCAAAATACATGATGAGGCACCCTTGGGTACAGAATAAACAAACAGAAAGCATGGCCTATTCACCTAGCATTTTTTGTATTTTGTAAACATTGGTTTTGAGATGTATTCAAGGCCTTTTTAAAATTTATTTTGCACTCTGAAGTAGATCACATTTGTGATCTATATGTAGAAATAAATGGGAGTATATAACTGATAGTAACTTACAATTCATTTTACATAAACCTTATATATAAGTGAGAATTTTATACAACAAACAAGATCCACTGAGTACCTATAATTTCTCTGGTACTGATTTGAACACTTTGCAGGAGATATAAAATGCATAAAGGCCTTATTCCTTTCATCAAGGAGCTGACTATTGGTTGGTAGAGGTATCAACAATGAGATTTTTTAAATCATGGAAAAGCAAAATTGAGCGGTGAAGGCTTCTGGTGCAATAGTAGTTCAATAAAGGAAGATAACAGTTAATATCAAAATTCGGGAATCTTTGTTAAGAGAGAGGTTGTTTGAGCCATGGTAATATTTAGATTATTGTAAAGATGTATAGAGAACATTCCCTTTGATAGGAATGGTGGTGGAGGTGGCTAGGAATTGTATGAGACATGAAGGGAATGCCTAACTAGAAAAAACGATTGTGTTGAAATGCATTGTTAATACTGGATGGTCAGGTTTATCCAGTCTTGAAAACTTGTTAGAATTTGGAGAACCAGGAAAGTGATGTGATGAATCAGTAAGTTTGATCTAGATTGCTTTTATATATATATAATACATATATTACTTTATATTAAGTGAACTTTAAATAAGTACATAATTTAAAGTGACATACACCAAATGCAGAGAATCTGGAGTTGGAACCATGACAGTGGAGAAAGATGTAAAGCAGGAGCCCTCCAAGCCAGCCTCAGAACCAGCAGCAGCGCCACAGGGAACCTGTTAGCAATGCAAGTTCTTGGGCCTGTCTGCAGACTTCCACAGTCAGGTACTCCAGGACTGCAAGGCCCAGCGATCCATTTTTGACAAGCCCTCTAGGTGACTCTGATGTTACTGTAGAGAACTAATGACTCAGGGGAAGTAATCAGATTATTTTACTACAACGAAATGATTACTGATCTCAACTGTGGTCTGGCCATTCCATAAAACTCTCGCTGTGTCTCTCATTGGCCCCTAGGTCATTCTTCACAGTGATTATTTTTGTCTTGTCTTGTATCCTCTCTTCATACCTTGAGATTATCCCTGTTTCTCATAGGGGACTCCTCCTTGAAAAATTAAATAGGAGCCGTCAGATAGGAATGTCTTCCAATTCCCGTCTAATGATAAATCTTCCCATGTTCCTTCCCGTTTTCATTCTTTTCTCCCTCACATTATCCAGGCTAACTTCTGTACCACCCTCATCCAACACTGGCCCCTCGTCATCAGTGATCACTCTTGCTTTTTGTCACATGAAATCCCCCAACTTCCCACATCACTCGTTCAAGAATCCATTCTGACCACAATGTCCCCCAGCTTATCTGTTTACTCCCTCTACAAGCACTTTGGCATCACAGGCTATTTTTGTGGTACTTGGTTGCTATCACCTTCTGCTTTCCTCCAGAGAGAAAGCTTACAGGTAGCAAATTTTTCCACTAGCAAGGGAGGAACTATAAAAATAGTAGGCATTTAATTAAAAGTTAGTATTTTTAATATTAATTCTGGAGCATACCAGGGAAAGGGGGACACAGAGAACAAGGAGGGTCCTGAGCCCACTTTCCTGAGGTCCCTGAAATAGGCAGTACAAGAGAGAATAAAGATCCATAGTTGAGAGGGCTGCAGGAAATGCAGTTCCCTGGACAGTCCCCAGGTCTCAGTAGAGTTTGAGAGCGCTGGTCATGGATCCAGGTTATGGCTTTAGAAGTGAGATAGAAGTAGCTAGCCTTGAGAGGCAGTAATTAGTTAATCCAGTACTCCCAAAGGTATTAAATGGTAGCATTAGAGTCTCTTAGGAAATAAAAGACTAGCTGGCAATGGGGTGCAGAGACCAAAGAGTAAGAAGAAGTTAAATGTTTGATGGTGTTTCTGTTATCTCCCAGTCATTGTTCTTGTCCTGTAAGCTACTGGAACACCTTAGTTTCAATAGTACACTTTTCCTGCATGAACACAATTCTCTGAAGAAAAGTCAAGACACAATTTAGCAATAGGAACAAATATTTGAAATTAGGACTACCTTGAAAAAACAGATTTGCAGTTGCTGTAATTTTTTTCTGCATTACCCTAAAGCAATTGCACTTACTTATCTTTGAGCATATGGCATTAGCTATTCTTTATTTAACTTCTCTTAATTTGGTGTTTTCTAACGTGTAACACATGCCTCTTCTCAGTTCTCTTTATATTTCTATAAGTAGCATGTTTACCATAGATTTTTTATATTAAGGCTGTTATTCAAGAATAAATTCATTTACCTTCAGTCAGCTGAAAAGCAGCTTCTACTGGAAGCTAAGTTATTCCATTTCCTAAACAGAAATGTTTTATATAGGGAAGAGGCTGTAGAAAGGCAGGGGACAGGTTATACCCTGAGGTTATGGGAAATCTCTATCAAAAAGCTGCACATACTCACATTAGTGTGAAAAGTCAATTTAGAGAAAAATAAAAAGTGATAGTTAATATATTGATGAACAAACATTCTGGATCAGCTGTACCTAAACAATCTACTTTTTAGAAATACAAACTAAAGAACAATTTGCAAGGGTGCAATACTAGTTTTTCCACTGAAGTAGAACTCTAGTTAGAAATGTGGGTCATTCATTTAAAGAATGGGTCCACTCTATTCTTGCTTACTGTACAGGGTTGTTTCAGAACCACGCAGGTAGCTGCCCTGATCGGTGATTTTCCTACCATAAGTATTTCAGAGGGAGGAAGCAGGTATAGGAGACTGCTTCGAAAAAATCTCCAAACCTCTATGAGCCTTGGTTTCATCTTTAAGGAAGTATTTGAAAACAAAGAAAGGGGAGAAAAATGACTTTCATTGTTACTTATGTCTATTTACAATAATCATTGTTTGTCCTTTATAAAAAGTTATGAGGTAAGCTTTAATGGAAAACAAATAAAGATATAAACATCACAACTGTGGAAGACAGATAGATGAACATTAGACAATGTGAAAAATGTTTCTCAGGTTCAATAGCCTGTTTTTTAAAAGTGACTTTATTCTATCTAATGGAAAGAGAATCACAAATTTTAGATGTTCCAGAATATTTCTAGATCAGATTAGAATTCATATAAAGACTTAAACTGCCATAGCTCTTTGAGAATCATCTATATCTATAATAAAAATAATAAGTAGTACTTATACTATTCAGCAGCACTTTGAATTTTTCTAAGTATGTTTGAAGGCAAAAAAAAGGATTCTTGATCTGCTCACCCCTCTTTACTGTTCCAACCTAGTAGCTATATGAGATCCAGAAACATGGCCTAGAGTGCTCACACTATATTCTTGGCACCTAACAAAGTATCTGTCAGTTGTAGGCTCTTCATAAATATTTGCTGAAAGAACAGAGAGAGAGAGTGGCTCCCTTTTTCTTGTAACATTTTCTGTGGTCAGGATTAGACCAGTGTGAGGAGACATATTAAAGTGAACATCCAGCAGTTACATAATCGTCCCCAAATTCATTTAAATGGTAAAAGTGTATGTTCCAACTTTAGGATGTCTT